ATCATGGAGCTGCAAGGATGTAGACAGGAGCTCCCAGGCTGGGCATCAGCCTCACTAGCAGGAGGTTACATAGAATTTCCTGCTGCCAGGTATTGTGGCTCATATATGTAATTCTAACACTGCAAGAAGGGAAAAGAGGATTAATTACAGTTATTTCAAAGCCCATATGGATTTTTATTTATTACTTTTTTAAATTGTGTGACAAACTACTCAGCAAAAGCAACTTAAAGGATGAAAGGGTTATTCTGATTCATGGTTAAAGAGTGCACAGTCACTCTCAGCATGGGGCATGATGGAGTACACAGCAGTAGGAACATGTGGCTGGGATTCCTCAAACTTCAGTAGATCAGGAAGTAGAGTGTAGGGATCCTCTCATCTGACTTTCTCCTCTTCTTCCTTTTTCCTTGGGCCCCAGGGTGTGTCTTCAAACCTCAATTAATCTCTGGAAACACTGTTACAGATGGGACCAGAATTGGATCTCCTAGGAGATTCTAAATCCAGCCAAACTGACACTGAAGATTGGCCATCACAGCTACTTAGTGAGTTCTAGGCCAGCATGAGATACAGTGTGAGATGCTGGTAACAGAGAAACAGAAAAAGGAAGAGTGAGTCCTGGGCTACATTCTGAGCAAAGTAAATGAGGGATCTGGAAAGAGTCTGAGTATTTTAGCACAAGATTTATGGTCACTGATGTTAATGGTGAGAATGGCATCCATGATGGAAAAGGCTTTTATGTGGGCATTCCATTTGGGGGAGGGGTTGAGAGAGACAAGGGAGAATATACATGGTCAGGCCTGAGTTATTGTGTTGACAGATACATATTGTTTTCTCTCCCATGAAGTATAGCCTCAGAGAGGAAATACAGGAAGCTTTTATATAGAGACTCTGACTGGCTGCTCCCTGAAAATTCCCTAGACTGATTTCTTACTTTTAGACATAAATAATAGAATCCAAACTCTTATCCTTTAAAAGCAAAGGAATTTAATATGTGATATTGGAGGGTTGGTGATTATTTTATTTTGGAAAAAGCCAATGAACCAAATTCAAGGCTTCACAGCCAGGAACAGAACTGACTAGTCCATCAACATCAGGTCCCACAGGGATCCTCTGAACACAGGAATCACTGAGGCCCTGGAGCTGGTCTCTGTGGGACAGCTTTCCTGCTACTCTGGGAACTGGATGTGCAGTGTTACCCCAGCCCAGTTCATTCCTGCAGTCCCAGCTTTTCCTTCTCACCATGTGCTCACTCAGCTGGGGGCTGAGGAGGACTCTGTGGTGTCCAGCTGCAGGAATGCTTGGGAAAGGGAGAGTGGCTGAGGGACTTGCTCTGCTTCCTTTCTGTAAGCTTACTAGGTGTTCCCCTGATGTGTAAGGAGAACTCAAGAGCTGGGAGAAGATGGTAAAAGGTGGAAATACAATAATGAAAGTAAGTTCCTTGAAAAGTTATCTGAGCAATTGTATCAGGGATATAAAACTACTGATAGATCCAGATCTAGTGTCCTCATAGCCCTGGACTTTACAAAGTGGTAGCACAACTGGGCACGGCGGCACACAATTTAATCCTAGTGCTTTGGAGGCAGAGACAGGTGGATCTCTGAGTTTGAGGCCAGCCTGGACTACATAGTAGGTTCCAGGACACTCAGGGCAATGTAAAGATACCTTGTCTTAAAAAACAAACAAGCAGGGCTGAAGAGATTGCTCAGAAGTTCAGAGCACTGACTGCTCTTCCAGAGGTTCCGAGTTCAATTCCCAGCAACCACATGGTGGCTCACAACCACCTGTAATGAGATCTGGTGCTTTATTATGGCCTGTGGGCAGACATGCATATAGAACAATGCACAAATAATAAATAAATAAATCTTAGAACAATGGGGAAAAAACTGCCAGTACACTGAGTCCCAGGTTAGGTAAGCAGTCACACATGGGTGTGTCTCACAGTAACAAAACAGGAGATGAGCACATTCCCATCCCTGGCTTCATCTCTGTAGAAAACCCTCAGACACCAATTCCCTTCCTACCTGCACTTTTCTTCTTCACCATCACAGTGGCAGCCACAGCTACAGTGACCACAACTCCAAGGAGAACCACACCAAATATCACTCCAGTTGTGGACCGAGAAGATGGGTCTGGGAAGAGAGGGTAGAGCTGAGGGACCCTAACCCCCAGCTCAGCACTGATTCTACTTAGGGTCTCCAGAAGGTCACCTGCTTTCCTTGACATCAGGTTTTGTGCTCACACCCCTCCTCACCCCATCTCATGGTGAGGGGCTCAGGTAGCCCCTCATGCTGCACATGGCATGTGTATTTGTGCTCCTCCCCGGTAGGTACCACCACAGCTGCCCACTTCTGGAAGGTTCCATCTCCTGCAGGCCTGGTGTCCACCTGCTCCATGTCCTGGGTCTGGTCTTCCCCATCCTTCTGCCAGGTCAGGGTGATGTCGGCTCGGTAGAATGCAAGGGCCCAGCACCTCAAGGTGACATCGCCTTCAGGTCTAGGGTGACGGGTTACGCGTGCCTTTGGAGAGTCTGAGAAGAAGAGTTGGAAAATTCAATATTTTATATATTTTTTTTCTGGGTACTTGAGCAGTTTTTGTGAGTCTATCCTGCCAATGTACAGGATTATCAAGATGTGAAAGGAGAGGGTGTGGTCTGGGGCAGTGCAAACCTCACACAAGTTGTCTTATGCTCAGGCACTAGTATAATCTATTCCTTGGAAAAGGAAAAGTTCCAGGTTTCCCACCATGAAAAGAGGATTTCTGGTCCTGACTTATAGAGTGAGAGCCTCGTCATCACTTGAGTGAGACCTCCAAAGACATTGCATGTGGGCAGAGAACCCAGCCTCTGGGAGACCATGGTTCTCAAGGGCTTCAGACTGAACTGGGCTGCTGTTGGTTATTTCAGAGATCTTCTTTCCTGCAATCTCAAGATCCCTAAACTGTTCTGAGAGAATGGCGAATCCTGGGGAAGTCATTCTCTGATATTGGGTAAGAGAATTCAGGAGCACTTCTCCCCCTTTGGACACAAGAGTCAGCTACAGTATTTCAGCTGGTACCATTTTCCTCAGTCCTTGGAGGCTTGCTTGCTACTCAGCGTGCAGATGTGAGAATGACTTCTCACATCTTACCTAAGCGCTGCAGAATCGCCTTCCCCTTCTCCAGATGTCGGTGCAGCCAGGCAACACACATGCCCTCCAAGAGTTGCCTCCAGTGCTGTGCTACATGTTTTGCCTCCCACTCTTGCTGGGTGATCTGAGCGGTCTTGTCTGCCACAGTCCAAGTTCTCAGGTCCTCGGTCAGACTGATGTAATCACGGCCATCAAAGGCATGTCTATAGTACCCACGGAGGAAGAGTCGGTCTGTATCCACATCGCAACCAAAGAAACACTGGAGGGTATGAGAGCCTGCAGCTGTCCCCAAAGTCAGCTCCGTCCACAGGACCCTGCCGACCCACAGAATTTCCACCTAAACTGAACTGAAAACCGGTCTCAGTCCCATGCCCTCCCGGGTCCAGGGTTCTGCGGGCTCCGCAGCCTCGGACCAAGCCTAGGACCTGGGATCCGAGACGATTCGGTCCAGTCTATGGGGACATGTAGGGTCCATTCACTCACCGTCATTGCTCTGGTTATAGATTTGGATTGCAAATTGCAGGTTTTCTCGAGCCGTGTGTGAATAATGCTCCAGACCCGTTCTCTCCAGCTCCCAAAAGTCCTGCCCCATCTGCTTCACCCATGGTACGAGCGGCTCCATTGTAGTTGCCGCGTTACTGTGGAAGCGCAGGATTTGCGTGTGATCCACATAGGCAACAGCGAAGACTTGGAGACCTCGGAGACCCGTTGGAGACGCCGTCGTGGTTACCATATACCTCAAGGAGTGTGTGCCTGGGGGCGGTGCGCAGTGAGACCCCGACCTTCCCCCGGGGACCCCAGGGAATCTACGTGGACTGGCGGGGATCAGGGCGCGGGGCTCGGGACGCGGGTGTAGAGGAGGCGGGCGGGGTGATGAGAAATGGCTTTTGGAATGCTGCCTGAGTCAGGCGCCCTGGCTCCTCCAGGCAGAGGCCCTTTCCTTTGTGACCGAAACTCACCAGCGCCATTCAGGGTCTCAGTATGGGACAGAGCCAGGAGTACCGAGAGCAGCAGGAGGGTGGGATGCATCTCCACAGCACCCATCCTTGGTGTTTGGAAAACCTGGAGGGACTGAGACATTGTTTCTCTCTGTAGAGTTTTATAGTATAGTGGTTTGTGGGGAGGTACCACAGTGACTGTGAGTGGCTTTCTTCAGAATCCCCCCGTGCAGTGGGAGTGAAAATATGTGTCCAGAAGGAAAGAGGGGAGAGCCGAGAGGGGTAGAAGCTACAGAAAGAATTACGGAGCAAGGAGGGAATTTCCAACCTATGGCTTCCCCACCTCAAACAGTTTGAAGGCAAAAGCTCAGATAAGGGACTTATGGAAACCTCTTCCTCCTGTAATTGGTGCTCTTTGTCACACTCTGAGTCCTGATCAGGAGGATTGTAGAGATTCTGAATGTTTTGGTTTCAGGATCTCTTATTTGTGCTTGTACATTGTTATGTACCTCAAAGTTTTATGTAGGTTAAAGCCAACGACATTTACTGTGTTAAAAGCTGCTCATGGTGGCTGACATCTGCAATCTCTGCGCTTAGGAGGCTGTGCTGAGGCAAGAGCTTTGAAATGAGTTTAAGGTCAGTTTAGCTACATGTCACTGACATTAAAAAAAAAGATTGTGTGTGTGTGTGTGTGTGTGTGTGTGTGTGTGTGTGTGTGTGTGATAATCTGTACAGATATATGACCAGTGTGTGAGGATGTCATGGAGGTCAGAAGAGGGAGTCAGAGTCCCCAGAACTGGAATTGCAGGTGTTTGTGAGCTGGGTGCTAGAAACTGAACTGGGGTTATCTATAAGAGCAGTGAGCACTCTTAACCACAAAACCATCTCTTCAGACCCTTGATACTCTGACTTCAGAAAAGACTTTTAAAAGCCTTAATTCAGACTAAGGTGTCAACAGATTAACTCACTGTCAAGCACACTACAGTAAATATGGCAAGCATATGTGAGACGCATTAAAATATTTTTGATGTCATACACCACATGAAAGTTTCTAAATAATTTCATCGGTTCCATCCAGTTTCAAACCCTACTGATTTTTTTTTTTGTCTTTGAGGCACATGGCTTGTTTCCACCACTCAAGAGGTAGAAGCAGGAGGGCTTCCAGGATTTGAGAAATAGCCTGGACTATATCATTTGTGTGTGTGTGTGTGTGTGTGTGTGTGTGTGTGTGTGTGTGTGTGCTGGACATTGCAAGGAGGGTCAATCAATGACTGACCCACAAAGAGGAAAGCACAAGGAAAGTGTTTCAAATTTTATCTTTCTGGGCAGTGGTGGCACACGCCATTTATATCAGCACTCAGGAGGCCGAGGCAGGTGGCTCTGTGAGTTCAAAGCCAGCCTGGTCTAAGGAGGGAGTTCCTAGACATCCATAGCACACAGAGAAACTCTGTCTTGAAAAAGTATTAATGATAATAATAATGATAATGATAATAATGCAATAGCTTTATCTTTAGGAGGGTTTTACAAAGAACACTATGGGAAGGGAAGTAGATGGACCTTGGGAAATAACTGTCTACTTCATGGCACTGTCTGCCTCTGGGACTTGAGAACTGGCCTGGCAATCTAAGGTCACTTGTAGGGCTGGCCCTCCAGTTGTCCTGATCTCATTTACTTTGATCCATATGAATTCTGGGGGATACTTTTCTTTCATTTGATGGGTGGGTTAGTGGTACTACATAAACTTCTTTCTGAGATAGAAACTCTGGGGGAAAACCAACTTTTTTTTTAATCCCCTCAACTATGAGGAGCACATATATCCTGTTTTATAGAAGATATAAGCAAGACAAAATGTTAAAGGTCACAGAAGTCCATTTAGGCAGACTTTTGCAGTCATTTATCCTTTTCAGACTGTGGAACGAGGATCGTATTAGTCAGTGTTAAATACAGGCCTATGAATTGGGTACAAAAACAATGGGGGCATTTGAGGATGAGTGTTTAGTATCTGTCCATGCATACAGTTTTAACTTTTTTTCAGGGAGGGAAGTTTCAAGATAGAGTTTCTCTGTGTATCCCTGGTCATCCTGGAACTCTGTAGACCAGTCTAACCTCAAACTCAGAGATTCTCCTGCCTCGACCTCTTGAGAGCTAGGATTAAAGGCCTGTGCCACCATCACCCAGCAGTTTTAGTTTCTTGGCTGTAGCAATCTTAGTGGGAAGGTGAAAAACCTATAACAGAGCAATCATGATGACATCATTTGGTACATGGAGTACCAGCTGAAGGTAAGACTATGTAGGTACCAGATTGTGCAAACTTTTTGGTAAATTCCATGCTCGTTATTGGGAGTAAATTTAATAGTGTCTGCATTTTTTTTTTTTTGCCAAAATAGAAGTTCTAGAAAGAGCAATATTCTTAACAGCCCTAATAGTCAGAGGAAAGGAAAGAGTTAACTTCCAAATTGCCTGTGGCCAGGGATATCAGCTTTGGCAAGCTAAAGCTGTTTCATTAACTCTAAAGCAAGCTTCTCTGAAGGGCTGACTGCTTCTGCTGTGCTAGCCAAGCCACTTATGCTAATTGGAAATTAAAAGATGATCCTTCCCCCTTTATCCCAGCACTCAGGATCCATTTCTTCAGCTAAATCTCTCTCTCTCTCTCTCTCTCTCTCTCTCTCTCTCTCTCGCTCTCGCTTTCCTATCTATCTCTGAGTAAGTGTAGCTAAGGAACCTGCCTCTGAAACTTGAACTCTCCAATTCTCATCTAACCCTGAAAAATTTTTCACTGCACAGCTTGGAATAAACCTCCCCACCCCTGTCACTCATGGAACTGTTTTGGTTTCTTTATTGCACTTATTTTATTTTATGATATGCTATAAAAAGATTTATAAAATTAACAGTCTCCCTATATATTATATTTATGATTAAGAGCTTTGGCTTCCATACAAAAAGATCCTCAACTCAAAATTATTATTTTTAAGGCTAAACCTAACAGGGATAAAACATAAAGTTCGAAATTTATAAAAGCAACTAAAATAAACTATAAACTCTTAAGGATAAGTTTACCTGAATTGTAAACTATTAGAAATAATTAAGAATGCAAGTTAATGACTAATCATCTAGTCATTAACTTATACTACAAACTGTTAAGGATAAGTTTTATTTAAATTGTAAGTTATTAAAGGTAATTTAAAAATACAAAATAATGCTTGATCATCTTATAAATTATCAGATTCTCTAATGTATTCAAAATATATTTGTAAACATACTAAGTATTAATATGATCAATTCCTTACTTAGCCCCCTGGCACCTAAAAGGGTTAAACTTCTTACAATGGACAAAATTATGCCCTGGCTTGAATGCTGCTGCAGCTCTGTTTGTGCTGTGTACAATTCCTCTGTCTGGTAAAAAGTGGGATCAATTCCCCACGTTACTCCTTACAGAAAATTTCAGACCTAGATTTAATAGCTAAAGACCATACAGACCTATGGGGGGGGTAAACATCTTATTAGCAAAAGTGATTTGAGGTATATAAAGAAAAAGTAAATAAAACTCTAATAAGATACTAATCTGGCTCTCAAAAAATGCCACCATTATTATCGCAGGCACAAGCTCAGGATTTTATATTCCCTTTGGTTATTTTTAAATGCAGACTTAAAAATGCTTCTTACAATAAAAACATCTTTTCAATCTATATACATGTACTCCTCTAGACACACACACACACACACACAATATTAAGATGTTACTGCTTTATTTACTTATTTATTTATGTATGTATGTATTTATTTTTGAAGACAGGATTTCGCTGTAGTTTTGGAGCCTGTCCTGGAATACACTCTGTAGACCAGGCTGTACTCAAACTCACAGAGATCCGCCTGTCTCTGCCTCCTGAGTGTTGGGATTAAAGGCCTGTGTCACCCCTGTCCAACGATATTACTGCTTTTAGTCAAAATTATTTTTAGGTTTCCAAACTTTTAGCATGACTTAAAATATGAGTCTCCTTACTTCTTCTACATTAGGGATTTAAGTACAGCTACAAACACTAATAATGCTAACATATCTGACATTTTTGCCTCTTAAAGACAGTTCTTACAAGTTTCAGGAGATCAACTTGGATCCACCAATGCCCACAGGTCAAGACAGACTTGAAAAAAGCACTGCCAATCTATGGTTTCTTTCCCCACAGGCCTGTTTTCTTGGGTGAGTACCTCTCCCTCTCTGCCGGATTATTGGGATAACCCTCTCCTATCTGCTGGAACCATGGAAACTTCGTAATGCACACCTAAGAAAAAAAATTTTCACCCTTTAAAATTCCTTAACATCATGTTCTGACCAATAATATATATTCGTTCCAGCAAGTTTCTAACTATTTAAAATTACAGACTACTCTGCTGTCTTCTCAAGTTTATGACACATGCCCTCCGCCCTGCAGTTCATAATTTCTTTTCTTTCACTTATTTTTTTTAAAAAAGAAAACAAACTATCTTTTTTTCATTTTACATATCAATCCCAGTTCCCACTCTCTCTCCTTCCACTCCTCCCACTCCTTCCACCTACCCCCCAACCCCACCCCCATCCACTCCTCAGAAAGAGTAAAGCACATTGCTTTGGGGAAGGTCCAAGCCCCTCCGTTTGGTACACCATTAATATCACTGTCCCTGGCAGAGTGTCCAGTACTCTGCACTAACACACACACACACACACACACACACACACACACGAACACACACATCTTTGCTTGACGGCCTGCACACCAAGGAGCCTCCCAGCTGCCCCTTGAAGTCCTGACTCACTCCCAGCTGTGCAGGCTGCAATTTCAACTTCCCTGTCAGCCAGAGCTCTATGTTCAAGAGAAACTGACATTTTTATAATTGTCAATCACAAAATGTTAGTTTAAAATGTTTATTACTTAGAAACATAGAATACAATGCACACTTTCTCTATTTTCTAGACTCCACAATAATTTAACTTTATAGCCCCCTTTATAACCCTTATAGGTTATCTCTTTAGTGGATAACAGAGTGGCTGGAACATTTTTACAGCTGCAGCTGCCCCACTGATTAGGAAGCTGATAGATTTGTTACATGTGTGTTATCAGAAACTCTGCTCCT